TAAAACCAACTTCACATCAATGCTTCAATGAGATAACAACATTACCTTAACAACAGCACATGCTGGATTTATGCATCTGTATGCTTCATATTTAATATTTAGTGAAAGCACGAGTAAATAAACATCACATTACAGCCTTTAGCACTCAATGAATGGACAAACTTATGAAAGATGAACAGATTAGTGATCTATGGAGGTCTTAAAGAGACAGTTCACCTAAACATTTATTTTTTTACTAATTATTGCTACAAGATTTTTACTATTGAGATAAAGTTGGTTTTATATTCACACATTTGTTCATTTAACGCCCCCCTATATTGTTGGGTCTGAAATCATATTCAATTATGACTTTAAAGCAACATTAGCTTTATTTAACTGCCTGTGAACAGTATTCTACTTTAATAGTCATTGGCTGATAATATGATTTCACTATTTAAAATTAGCTAATAATGCTTTTCTGAAATTATATTAAGGGGAAAGTCTGAATGTGTAAATATAAAACCAACTTTACATCAATGCTTCAATGAGACGACAACATCACTTAAACAACAGCACATGCTGGATTTATGCATCTGTACGCTTCATATTTGTCATTTAGCAAAAGCACGAGTAAATAAAAACCACATTACAGCCTTTAGCACTCATACAGATGAACAGATTAATGATCTACAGAGACTGGTGAAGGGTCAGTTCACCTAAAAATGACATTTTTACTGCTACTTCAGTTTTACTATTGAGATAAAGTTGGTTTTATATTCCTGCATTCATTTATTTAACCCTCCCTAAATTGTTTACCATGCTAATTTCAATATTGAGTCAGAAATAACATGCAAATATGACTTGAAAGCAACATTAGCTTTATTTAACTGCCTGTGAACAGTGTTCTACTTTAATAGTCATTGGCTGATAATATGATTTCACAATTAAAAATTAGCTAATAATGCTTTTCTGAAATTATATTAAGGAGAAAGTCTGAATGTGTAAATATAAAACCAACTTCACATCAATGCTTCAATGAGACAACAACATTACTAAAAAAACAGCACATGCTGGATTTATGCATCTGTACGCTTCATATTTAATATTTAGTGAAAGCACGAGTAAATAAACATCACATTACAGCCTTTAGCACTCAATGAATGGACAAACGTATGAAAGATGAACAGATTAGTGATCTATGGAGGTCTTAAAGAGACAGTTCACCTAAACATTTATTTTTTTACTAATTATTGCTCCTACATTTTTACTATTGAGATTAAGTTGGTTTTATATTCACACATTCATTCATTTAACGCCCCCTATATTGTTGGGTCTAAAATCATATTCAATTATGACTTAAAAGCAACATTAGCTCTATTTAACTGCCTGTGAACAGTGTTCTACTTTAATAGTCATTGGCTGATAATATGATTTCACTATTTAAAATTAGCTAATAATGCTTTTCTGAAATTATATTAAGGAGAAAGTCTGAATGTGTAAATATAAAACCAACTTTACATCAGTGCTTCAATGAAACGACAACATTACTTAAACAACAGCACATGCTGGATTTATGCATCTGTACGCTTCATATTTAATATTTAGTGAAAGCACGAGTAAATAAAAACCACATTACAGCCTTTAGCACTCATAAAGACGAACAGATTAATGATCTACAGAGACTTTAAAGCACAGGTGTCAAACTCAGTTCCAAAAGGGCCGCAGCTCTGCACAGTTTAGTTCCAACCCTAATTAAACACACCTGATCAAACTAATTGAGTCCTTCAGGCTTGTTTGAAACCTACAGGTAAGTGTGTTGGAGCAGGGTTGGAACTAAACTGTGCAGGGCTTCGGCCCTCCAGGAATTGAGTTTGACACCCCTGCTTTAAAGGGTCAGTTCACCTAAAAATGACATTTTTACTGCTATTTTAGTTTTACTATTGAGATAAAGTTGGTTTTATATTCCTGCATTCCTTCATTTAACGCTCCCTATATTGTTTACCATGCTAATTTCAATATTGAGTCTGAAATCACATGCAAATATGACTTGAAAGCAACATTAGCTTAATTTAACTGCCTGTGAACAGTGTTCTACTTTGATAGTCATTGGCTGATAATATGATTTACCCATTAAAAATAAGCTAATAATGCTTTTCTGAAATTATATAATTAAGCAGAAAGTCTGAATGTGTAAATATAAAACCAACTTTACACCTCAATGCTTCAATGAGACGACAACATTACTTAAAAAAACAGCAGAAATACAACAGCACATGCTGGATTTATGCATCTGTACGCTTCATATTTGTCATTTAGCAAAAGCACGAGTAAATAAAAACCACATTACAGCCTTTAGCACTCATACAGATGAACAGATTAATGATCTACAGAGACTGGTGAAGGGTCAGTTCACCTAAAAATGACATTTTTACTGCTACTTCAGTTTTACTATTGAGATAAAGTTGGTTTTATATTCCTGCATTCATTTATTTAACCCTCCCTAAATTGTTTACCATGCTAATTTCAATATTGAGTCAGAAATAACATGCAAATATGACTTGAAAGCAACATTAGCTTTATTTAACTGCCTGTGAACAGTGTTCTACTTTAATAGTCATTGGCTGATAATATGATTTCACAATTAAAAATTAGCTAATAATGCTTTTCTGAAATTATATTAAGGAGAAAGTCTGAATGTGTAAATATAAAACCAACTTCACATCAATGCTTCAATGAGACAACAACATTACTAAAAAAACAGCACATGCTGGATTTATGCATCTGTACGCTTCATATTTAATATTTAGTGAAAGCACGAGTAAATAAACATCACATTACAGCCTTTAGCACTCAATGAATGGACAAACGTATGAAAGATGAACAGATTAGTGATCTATGGAGGTCTTAAAGAGACAGTTCACCTAAACATTTATTTTTTTACTAATTATTGCTCCTACATTTTTACTATTGAGATTAAGTTGGTTTTATATTCACACATTCATTCATTTAACGCCCCCTATATTGTTGGGTCTAAAATCATATTCAATTATGACTTAAAAGCAACATTAGCTCTATTTAACTGCCTGTGAACAGTGTTCTACTTTAATAGTCATTGGCTGATAATATGATTTCACTATTTAAAATTAGCTAATAATGCTTTTCTGAAATTATATTAAGGAGAAAGTCTGAATGTGTAAATATAAAACCAACTTTACATCAGTGCTTCAATGAAACGACAACATTACTTAAACAACAGCACATGCTGGATTTATGCATCTGTACGCTTCATATTTAATATTTAGTGAAAGCACGAGTAAATAAAAACCACATTACAGCCTTTAGCACTCATAAAGACGAACAGATTAATGATCTACAGAGACTTTAAAGCACAGGTGTCAAACTCAGTTCCAAAAGGGCCGCAGCTCTGCACAGTTTAGTTCCAACCCTAATTAAACACACCTGATCAAACTAATTGAGTCCTTCAGGCTTGTTTGAAACCTACAGGTAAGTGTGTTGGAGCAGGGTTGGAACTAAACTGTGCAGGGCTTCGGCCCTCCAGGAATTGAGTTTGACACCCCTGCTTTAAAGGGTCAGTTCACCTAAAAATGACATTTTTACTGCTATTTTAGTTTTACTATTGAGATAAAGTTGGTTTTATATTCCTGCATTCCTTCATTTAACGCTCCCTATATTGTTTACCATGCTAATTTCAATATTGAGTCTGAAATCACATGCAAATATGACTTGAAAGCAACATTAGCTTAATTTAACTGCCTGTGAACAGTGTTCTACTTTGATAGTCATTGGCTGATAATATGATTTACCCATTAAAAATAAGCTAATAATGCTTTTCTGAAATTATATAATTAAGCAGAAAGTCTGAATGTGTAAATATAAAACCAACTTTACACCTCAATGCTTCAATGAGACGACAACATTACTTAAAAAAACAGCAGAAATACAACAGCACATGCTGGATTTATGCATCTGTACACTTCATATTTAATATTTAGCAAAAGCATGAGTAAATAAAAACCACATTACAGCCTTTAGCACTCATAAAGATGAACAGATTAATGATCTACAGAGACTGGTGAAGGGTCAGTTCACCTAAAAATGACATTTTTACTGCTACTTCAGTTTTATTAAGGAGAAAGTCTGAATGTGTGAATATAAAACCAACTTCACATCAATGCTTCAATGAGACAACAACATTACTAAAAAAACAGCACATGCTGGATTTATGCATCTGTACGCTTCATATTTAATATTTAGTGAAAGCACGAGGAAATAAAAATCACATTACAGCCTTTAGCACTCAATGAATGGACAAACGTATGAAAGATGAACAGATTAATGATCTACACAGGCCTTAAAGGGACAGTTCACCTAAAAATGACATTTTTACTATTTATTAATACTCTGAAACTTTTACTATTGAGGTAAAGTTTTATATTCGCACATTTGTTCATTTGACACTCCCTATATTGCTTACCACACTAATTTAAATACTGGGTCTGAAATCACACGCAAGTATGACTTTAAAGCAACATTAGCATTATTTATTTGACCGTGAACAGTGTTGTACTTTGGTAGTCATTGACTGCTAATATGATTTACCTATAAAGAATCATCAAAGAAAGCAAAGTCTGAATGTTAGAATATACTTTACGTCAATATATTTACTTTATTAGTCAGTATTTACTCTCCATTAAGTGTCTATAGACCTTTATAAGTCTCTTTCTACACTAAAGAAGATATCTTGAAGAATGCTGAAAACCTGTAACCATTGACATGCATAGTAGAAAAACAAATAACATGGAAGTCAGTGGTTACAGGTTTACAACTGTCTTCAAAGCGTCTTCTTTTGTGTTTAATGGTAGAAATAAACTCATAAAGGTTTGAAACGAGAAAGTAGGAGACCTTTTTGAGTGAACTGTCCCTTTAAACGACAGCAGAGCGAGCTGACACTTAGGATGAGATAACAGTTGAGCTAATGATTAAATCAGGGGGTTATTTACCTGTTCTCCGCTGTCTCAAAAGTCCTTTCCGGGAAACCCAGATCACTCGGTGGCCATATTTTCAATGTTTAACTTATACGCAGCTGTTTTGGTCAAGGATAAAAACTGTCGTCAGCCGGAATGTTGATACACACGACCGCCAGGTTAAAACACACGACCGCCAGGAAACTCTTTAGTTAACACGATGTCATATATTAAAGTCGTCTATATTCGGTCCCATAAATGTTGGTGCTTGCTCGAATAGCGGTCTTTGCTAAGTTTCCGGTTGGTCCGGCCACTGCGCATGTGCGCTCGATTCTCCATGCTCCGGCTGGCTGTTTCCATGAGAACCAAGAGGTTCACTGCTGGCTTTGTAGCTGTAGCAGCTGCTGATTGGCTCGTGTTCGGATTTCTTCCATTCATAAAAAAGGTTGTTGCTAGAAGAGATACAGCTTCGGCCGGAAGTTGACGACATTTTTAAATATTATTTATTAAATAATCCATTAATTGTATTTTATTACCGTCTACCCCAACCACAAACCTAAATCACAACAACGTAAAGACAGCAAATATATATATATTTTTATGTTTATTTGATAAATTACCCATTATGTCTACCCCAACCACAAACTAAAACCCAACTATCACAGTAATGTAAAAATTATACCGAGTATTTTTATATTATTTATTTAATTTACCCATTAATTGTATTTTATTAACTCTATCCCAGCCCCAATCCTAAACCATCACCGTATGTACATACAGTAATAATACGAGTATTGTTCCCAATAATTATTCAATTACCCATGAATTGTGCTTTATTAACGTCTACCCTTACCCCAAACCTAAATTCAGCTATTTAGTCATTTAAAACAGTAATTATACAGAGTATTTTTATATTTATTCACTAAATTACCCGTGAATTGTATTTTATTAACGTCTACCCTAACCCCAAACCAAAACCCAACCATCCCAGTAATGTAAAAACAGTAATTACAGAGTAATTTTTATATCATTTAAATGACCAATTCTAAACCATCACCGTACTAAATAAAGTAAATCAGTAATAATACTATTGCTCCCATTAGTTATTAAATTACCCATGAACTATATTTTTTAACGTCTACCCCTACCCCAAACCTAAAACCCTCACAATAAATTAAAAACTGATACTAAACCAAAGTATTATAAATACTATTAATTAAATTGCCCATTAAATTGTACTTTAATAACTCCGACTCCACCTCAATCCCAAACCTACTCTCACCGTAATTTTAAAAACCCTAATTATTGTTGTACAGTGTCACAATGGATAGAAGTATCCGAAGCTGTATCCCATATAAAATAGTCACCCATCTATGGTTGTTGCTAGAAGAGATACAGGTCCGGTTGGAATAGATTTTTTTATTACCCTAAACCTCTCTCACAGCTGCTTTTTGTGACAATGTAAAACAAATACCAATTTTAAGTTACATTTTTAACCTGCAATTAAAAAATGCGTAAAATTTAATAAATAAAAACGACTATGAAAAAATAAAAAATAAAAGTGTCCAGTCTTCCGGTCTAACTCATCTCCAAACAGCTCGATGTTGCAGACTGATATTTTTTTCTCGTCATATTATTTTCAATTAATTGTATTGTTATAACCACACTGGTTTGTAGAGAAGGTAGTTTGACCGTTGCCAAACAAAGTGGATATAACGTCTTACAATAAGATATAAATGAACGTGTAACGGTAAACTTGGGTCACATGTGTTCTATGAACCAATCATGTTGTAGCGTTGACGTGACGACGTGTTTTACGGCATGTCAATCATTATTGTAACACAAGGACGAAAATCAGCTTCATATCGAAACACAGCAGGGACTTTAAGACAGCAAAACTGATCTAAACAACTCATTTCTTTAAAATATAGGTAATACTTTCAAAATCAGTATAGTTGTATACGTCTTTATAATTTTATTGTGTGTATTGCTACTATTATTTATCATTATAACTAAATATTATGGTATTTTAACCTTACTATAAGTAAGAACTTGAATTACTTGATAATTAAAATTTTGAAATATAGAAAAATACTTAATAATTATGCAGATATCTCGATAATGCTACATTGATTTTTGTTTTTACAGTTTGTTTTAAAACCCACATAAAAATACTTAAAAATTATGTTAAATATTATAGTGTTTTTGAACCATACTAAAGTAAATTAATACTTTGTGGTGATTCTATAGCACTACACATAAAACATCTATAGTAATATAAACAAATGACCCAATACTGTGGTTTTCCGCTACCATATGGTAACCTCACCGGCCACTTTATTAGGTACACCTTACTAGTACTGGGTTAGATCGCCTTTTGCCTTCAGAACTGCCTTGCCTTGCTGGATAAGTTGGCGGTTCATTCCGCTGTGGCGACCCCGGATTAATAAAGGGACTAAGCCGACAAGAAAATGAATGAATGAATGAATGAATGAATGGCTGGAGTCTAACAGTACTGAGGTACAGAACATCAATAATCAAATGCAAAATAAAACTGTACTGTCTTACTGTATAAATAAACACAATTAATATGTGTTAAAGCAGCAAACTCTATCATTTATTGTGTCCACGTGGCTTAAATTTGCTTGAAATTATACAGTCAGAGGCCTTACCTTTTTTATATATCGTGAAATGAGCATAATTTCACAAGATGACTATTAATTCATTATTGATTGGATGATTTTGTAGGCGAGTGCATCGACATAATGAAAACATTGATGATGATGAAATGATTGTCGAAATCTTGTCGTCTATCCAAGCTTTAGGAACAGCAAATACTTGACTTCTATTAGATCATTTGATATCGGAGGTGTCTCGTATGAAAGGCAAAGGCCTCTAGATTTTGCTTATTTGAGCACAATAAAATCTGATCATGTCTTGATTATTAATGATTTGATTAGGACAGTAAGGTCTGACTCTGCTTAGACTAAAGTCTCATCACTGAACAGAAATAATGTCCAGTATAGAATATAAAGTCCTGCTGCAGTGGAGACAGAATGAATATTGTGTCTGACTCCATCATGAGCTTGGAGGACTGCATCCATACATCTCTGACATGACTCAAATCACTGATTAATAAAGTCATCTGGAATGAAGAAGAAAGCGTTCAGCAGGACTCCCAGAGCTCATCAAGACTCTTTGTGTTCATCTTCAATGCCTCCTCCTTCATCAGCTCAATAATGTTCATGTCTGGTGACTGGGCTGGCCAATCCTGGAGCACTCTTTGCTTTCAGGAGCATTGATGTGGAGGCTGAAGTATGAGCAGGAGCGCTATCCTGCTGGAGAATTGTCCCTCTCCTGTGGTTTGTAATGTAATGGGCAGCACAAATGTCTTGATACCTCAGACTGTTGATGTTGATCATCCACTCTGCAGATCTCTCGCACGCCCCCATACTGAATGTAGACCCCAAACCATGATGTCTCCTTCACCAAACTTGACTGATTTCTGTGAGAATCTTGGCTCCATGCTGGTTCCAGTGGGTCTTCTGCAGTATTGGTGATGATTAATGCAGATCAACAGATGATTCATCCGAAAAATCTGCTCTTACAACAAGGATCGATGACAAGATGACAAGTCAAAAAGTGGTATACTGTATTGTGCAGCCCTAGTGTGTGAAAAAAGATCACAGCAGACAGTGAGTCCTTTGAACTGTTTAATAAACAACGTTCAGTTCGACCGTAACGTCCAGAGTAACCTTTGACCTCAGAACAAAAGGAGGGAGAGGGGGATTATTAACATAACTCCATACATACAGTAAGACCATGAGCGCAAACATCTCAGCTTTCAGCACAATCTCCCTTAATCCAGTCAGTGTGTATATGTGTGTGTGTGTGTGTGTGTGTGTGTGTGTGTGTGTAAGGACGCAGGTCACAGTGGTCTGCTCATGGATTTTCTTTCCTTCAACATGTTCATCAGACATAAACTCGTATTTCATATCAGATCTTCTTTTATTTCTTATATATATATATATATAATTAATGCTTAAATCTATTTTTTTTGCTAATGGATGAGTTTTGAGATCCAAACCTAAATGTCTGTGAATAATTAAACACTCCTGCTTGTCAAATAATACTGTAGTAACTATTTTGTTATCGTCTTTCTTTCATTTTAGATTTTTTTCATTTGTATTTTTAATTTTTTTTACACATTGTTCTGTACAGATGAGGACGTGAACATGTGGCCATGACAGATCAGGGTGTGCAGAGATGTGGAGAAGCCAAACATACAAAAACACATCTAGCTCTTTTTTCACCTTCAAATAAATTTTTAGGGGGCATTATTATTACTATCATGTTCAACTTTGAGATTTCTCACATTTAAGTTGATGTTTGCATTACAATGATGCCGTAAAAATGTAAAAATATGTTTCCAGTTCACCCAGATCAGTAGCTATGTTTCCAACCCAGGCTCATTATTGATCTGTACCCCTGTATACATTTCTGGAGAGCGCCAATTGCGTCGCAGGAGGTACGTTTTTTTGCAGGTTTTGTTTTCGTGAGTCCACCAGAGGCCGCTGTGTACACTTTTTCGGATCTTAAACTTCTCTCGTGAGTGTCATTCGCGCCTGCTGTTCTCACGTAATTCTACCATAGGCTGCTGTCAACTGACTGTGCAATCGATTGACCTGCCCACCCCCTTCCCTAAACTCAACTAATAGTGTTTTCAAAAGCAGTAATTGACCTGCCCAAACACTTCCCTAAACCCAACCGATATTGTTTTCAAAACCACAAAATGACCCGCCCACCCCCTTCCCTAAACTCAACTAATAGTGTTTTCAAAAGCAGCAATTGACCTGCCCAACCACTTCCCTAAACCCAATCGATAGTGTTTTTCAAAAGCACTGATTGACCCGCCCACCCATTTCCCTAAACCCAACCGATAGTGTTTTCAAAACCACAGAATGACCCGCCCACCCCCTTCCCTAAACTCAACTAATAGTGTTTTCAAAAGCAGCAATTGACCTGCCCAACCACTTCCCTAAACCCAATCGATAGTGTTTTTCAAAAGCACTGATTGACCCGCCCACCCATTTCCCTAAACCCAACCGATAGTGTTTTCAAAACCACAGAATGACCCGCCCACCCACTTCCCTAAACTCAACTAATAGTGTTTTCAAAAGCAGCAATTGACCTGCCCAACCACTTCCCTAATCCCAATCGATAGTGTTTTCAAAAGCACTGATTGACCCGCCCACCCATTTCCCTAAACCCAACCGATAGTGTTTTCA